CGGTCTCAATTACAAAATTAAAGCGGTTGGTCACTAAAGCTAACATTACATTTAAATTAAAGGAGTGAAAATTAACTTTGTGATGATTAACATTGAAAGGAGAGTATGGTAATCAAGCAAAGATCACTTAAAAATTAGCAAGCATTCAAATCCTAATTAAGTGCAAGATTAAGCATTTAAAATAATATGAAAGTAAACCCTTGGAGCTCTCTGGACGTGGTAGCAGCTCCCTTCCGTCACCGTGCACCACACATTCAATTTAAATCACTGTCTCGGGCTTCTCTTTAAAGAAAATTAAAATCATTAGAATGCTTCTTCTTTCTTCCCGTAATTCACCACCAGCGACTGCCACTTTTTTGCTTCTCCTATCTAAGTTATCCATTCATTCTTAAAAGATAAAAAAAAATTGTATCAATGACCGTGGGCCATCTCTTCCTTCACGTGAATGAACTTCTTCATAGATCAAAACAAACCAGCTGTAAAGTGCTTCTCTTCTCCCACTCCACCTAAGCCATCAACGTCCCATCATCCTATACTCTAACTTAATTATCCACCTCTCATGTGCATAAAAGTGTAGCAGCAATTGAAATAAAGAAACATTAAAAAGCTTTAATCAAAAGTCAAAATGTGAGCTTGTGCACCCTCCCAATCCGTGACAGCACACCACTTTCCAATTCCAAATTCCATGGATGTGACCGTGTGCTTCAATTCAAGGATAATAATCCCCGTGCTGCATCTCTCCCAAGACGAGAATTACCTTAAAAGAGGGGAATAGGAACCTTGCAATATTCAAAACCCAAGGTCCCACTTCCTTCTTCCTTTCAAAAGCCGTGACCCTATCCCATTTTTTTAATTACTGTGCACACCAGCCCATCTACCCGTGGCATCCCAAGCTTCCAACACTTAACCGTGCACGTCATTCTTCATCCTGCACATGTGCGTGGCCTACCCAAGCATCCTCTCATTCAGCACCGCTTGCAACTACTTCAATTGGAATCATTGTGCAACACTTCTTCAATGGTGTGGCAGCCGTGTGCCTCACTTCTTCCAGGACGTCCAACACGCGCACGCTGTGCTCTCCGTGCTTCCTTCCCAACTTGACACCACACGCTTCTATGTGCTGCTGCCTCCAAAATGTAAATCACCGTGCAGTCCAATAATGAAGCATTACTGGGCCGAAGCTTCACTCCAAGGTTTCATGAACCAAAATGAAATTAAATGGCAAAGCAGAAACATAACAGCGTGCACAAGAACAAGCAAGAAAATGAAATTGAATCAAAGCTTGATTCGCAACCGTGTTTTTCGGCCAAAGAAAAACGTTTTTTCTCGAAACCAAACCCGAGAGAAATAAAAAAATTGCCAAAGTGTGTGGCGGCTAGGCCCTTTCTAAGGACGTGTGTCCTCCCTTTAATAGGGATGGGGTCCACACAAAAGAAAAACCCTAGGTCCAATGACTCATTTCTAATTTTTGGGTCTAATCTAATTTACCAAAAATTGACCCAAAATATAAGAGTTGATTCAAAAATTCTAAACTACTGAATTACAATTTAATTAATTCAAAAATTGTCTGTGTGGAAAGTCTTGAATTTATTCGGCATTCTTCCTGATGTCCTAAAATGTATTTCCGAAATTTTCCTNCCTCGTTCATCATCTGTGGGGCCTTCTCCTACCCCTGTTGTACACCCTCTTCCTACCCATGTAGTACACCCTCCTCCTACCCCTACAATATACCCTCCTCTTACCCCTATAACAAATATTCTTCCTCCTCCTGTGATTATTACCCTCACTCCTCCCCCCATGATTATTACCCCTACTTCTCCCTCTGACCCTACTTATATACCTTCCTCATCTTCTATACCGCCTTATGAGACTGCCACACCATCTGTTGATCCAGATTTAGCTGGTGATGGTGATGGTGTTAACCCGCCCCTCCATGATCGACCATGGATTGAGCCATATGGTAAAGGCTAAGACTTTAATCCCTTTTTTAACAATGTTGATGTTCAAAGTTTGTCTTACTTCAAATGACTTTTATTTCTTTATATGCAGGTTTATTCCATCCAAGGTTCCTTCCTAGGCCATCACACGATTAATTAAGTAACAATATTTGAATCCATGGCCTATTTGGGGAGCAATACATGTAGATGACAAAAAGCCATTCTGGGAGCGTTTTACGGTAAACAACCAATTAAACTAATTGTCATTCTTATTTTAGTATGTTTATTAATCAATGTTTGTTTTGTTATTGTTTTACAGATGAAAGATGCAATGGAAACCTGAACATGAAACTCAAATACAAAGAAATTTCCACATGAAAGCATCTCATCGGCTGTCAGAGATGTTTAGGGATGCCCGCAATGCAGGGGAGCACCCTTACTGGTTGGGTGAGCACATTTGGAACTATTTACTCGCTCATTGGAATTCAGCAGAGTTTCGCAATAAGTGTGCTACAACCCAGAGAAACAAAGCTTCTGAAGAGGGTGGCACCCTACATACTGGTGGGTCGATCACGGTTCATGAGCATGCCATTCGTATGGTAAACTTTCAATAATTTTATGTTTCTTTCATATATAACTTATGTATTTTTTATTTCATGTACACTTTTAACTCTAAATTATGTTACAGGCACAAGCTTTGGGATGGGTGGTCCATGTTGATGAGGTCTTTGCACAGACTCATGTTCGGAAGGGCACTAATCAATTCGTTGATGAAAGATCTCGGAAGACTCATGTAATCAAATAACAATGGTACTAATATTAATTTTTCATTATGTTATTGTATCATTCCCTAACATTGCTTTTAATAGGAAGAATTTTCTGCGAGACTTTCACAGGTTAGATCCGCACATGGGTCAACTCCTACACCGGATGATGCGACTAATGAGGACGACGACATCCGTAGGACACAGTGCTGGGTCGATGTCGTTGATGGGAAGAAAAAGGGACGAATGTCGATGCAGGAAATCTTGCTGCAAACTATACAACATCAAGAGGAGGTACTCTGAAGCACCAACCTTCTTCTTCCACCACTACTACTAACTTGACACAATTACTACAACAACGTGACCAGGAAAATCATGAATTGAGTGAAAATTACAGTGACTTGAGAATCGAGTTTACAAACTTCAAGTCCCTGGTTATTAGAGCGCTGCCATTCTACTATCACTTTGACCCAGCCACGACCCTCCCCGTCACCCGCTGTCCCTCAGCAGCTCACATCAGTCCAGCCCACATCAGTCTAACCTACACTAGTCCAGCCCACACCAGTCCAGCCATCTATAGAGCAATAGGATGATGAAGATCATTCTGATGATGACTATGTAGATTATTAGTTTTTTTTTGTTATTGAACATAGTTTTTAGAACATTTTTTATGTTACCTTATGATTTTGTTACATTACATTTTCTAGATGAACATATTGTTTTATGTTTTTTGTTTAATGTTTCATTTACAAATACAAAGTTCTTAATTTCAACAATACAAAATGATGTTATTCTATTGTTGTTTTATTCCATTAATGATTGGATGATTTTGGAATGTATGTTATGGAGGTCTGTTTGTGGTTTGAAAATGTTATTCAGGTCTGTCTGTGATGTGAACATGTTATGCAGGTTTGTGTGGTTGGATAACAAATACAAATATCACTTAATTCTGCCTGGTTCTTACCGAAGGCTCTTGACCTTCGGTTATTACCAAAGGCTTTTTCTCTTTAGTAATTACCGAGGGGCAAAAGCCCTCGGTAAATGCTAGCGACAAGTGCTTTACCGACGGTGTTTTGACCGTCGATAAGCTGTCGGTAATGATCTTTTACTGACAGTTTCTGGCTGTTTCCGAGGGATTGTGGACCTTCAGTAATGCCCTTCTTTTTTGTAGTAGGTAAAATCACGCATGCACTATCATTTCTTTTTGTTAGAAACAATCTAAGTGTAAGTTAAAGTTGAAATTTGAAATAACAAAATTAAACATCATAAAAGACCATAAATACATTTTTAAGATATGAAGTAAGACTTGTGTCGCACATATATTTAATCTTTCTCCTTAAGAACCTCTCTATAGTATCTATAGTTTGATTTTGTTGGAGAGCTTCAAATAAAATCATTATTTTATGAATGATAACTTTAATGGGCATAATTGATTGAACAGATGCCAATAATGGACTGAGGCAACAAAGATACGAAAGATAAAGCTTATGGTGTTCCCATTCCTTTCATTGGTTGACTGCTGGAACCGAAAGAATAACTGTAGAGAGTGGAATGGACTATCATATGGATAAACCCACTAACAGAGAGGATTTACTTAAAGCATCACATTTATAAATGGTAAAGTGTGACACAATGTACATGTATATATTGAAGAATAAGAAATTGAAATTTAACTAATGTAATTGAAGGAGTTGAAATTTAACAATAGACTAAAATCTTGGATATTGCACTCTAAAAATTAAAGTTAAATAACTGCTAAAAATCTTATTTTACTATTCAAACAACATTAATTCGAACATTAAAACAGGCTTAATGCTTTTATGAAGAATAAAAAAAAGTACTTTTTAAAGGTCTGTTTTGTGATAATTCATGTAGTAGTGCGACTCTACATGATTGTATTACTCCATATGGGGCAACTGAATAAGCATGGTCATGGTGGCTTTCTTAGAAAAAAAAAATCAGCATGACCGTGGTAGTTAACTACCTAACTATATTTTTATAAAGAATAAATGTTTACTGTTTGATTTTAAATTTTGTTATGCTAATAGGGCCACATCAACACACTAAAGATTAAAAGTGAACTCTAAAGTTAATTAAATATGCAAAGGAGTTATTTTTCAATATGAAAAAGCATGGCCAGGTTCCCAGTCTCCCTTGTATGCTCATCAGTACATTCCAGTGGTTTCTATAAAGTTGCGGTGATTTCCGACGGTTTCTACAAAATCTCGATCATTTTTTACGGTTTTTATAAAACCCCAGTCATTTTCAATAATTTCTATAAAACTCTGATGATTTCCGGCGGTTTTAGCAAAAACCCTACAAATACCGACAGTTTCTCATAACTCCAGGAAATAGCGGCGGTTTTAGTAGAACCCCGAGAAATTGCGGTGATTTTAGCCCAAAATCGTTGGTAATACTTAACGACACTGTTTTTTCTAATGGTTTTTGCAACCACGGGTAACGTATTTTTCAGGGGTTAAAACCGTCGATAACGCTAAAAATAACTTTAAAAAAATTATATTTTTTGTAGTGTAGTATATATGTGCATGAATAGTTGTTGTCATCCAATTCATTACATAGTGATCACACTCATATGAGTTGGTTTGTTTATTACACTACAATATATCATGGCAATAATAATTAATTAACAAAGATAGTTGGAATAAAACAATTATAAGAAAGTATGGACAAAAATATCAAACCTTGAAGGCCAACCGTGCAAGTTTTTTAGCATTAGTAATTGATTTCCGTAACAACATCATATGTACTACAATTGAATAATGAAAAAATGAATGATTTAGGATACACTTATATAACAAATATAGTTCATAACATTGACGTTCTTACGAATCTACTACTTGTTTAAGATGTTTGGGAGGAGACTTGTGTAATGAACAGAACAACATAGCAATGTTGTTCAGTACGTAAATCACAAGTAGCTTCCAATGTTGCCTGAAATAGATAATAACTTAAATATTGTGTCTTTAAAATCATAGATGAAAACTTTCAAGTTAACAAACTACACTTACCCAGCAAAATAAAGGAAAAAATATGCACTACTAAAAAGAGGGTATACTAACGCGTCATTTATGCTTCCGTTAAGGTGGCATTTTTGAACGTTTCGCAAACGTATATGCCTCGGTTCCAATAGAACCGAAGCTGCAGATGGTCTATGGCCTCGATTCCCTTCTCAACCAAGGCCAAAGACCCATCACTCCCACTAACATTCTCCCTGCCCTTTGACTCTTCAACTGCCAACATTTTGGGATTATGGTGAAGAGGCCCAACCAAATTTAGAACAAATGCCAAGGAACTAAAATCACTAAAACTTTGGCAAAAACAAGAATCCATTTTGAAAGAAAAAGAAAGAGTTGAAAGAGAACAATATCTCGAAACCTTAGAAGAAGAGCTTAGAGTTCTAGCCCAGAAACAAGAAAAGGTCCAGAAGAGATAAAGAAAAGTAGGAGTAGGAGTCACTCAAGGAGGAGTTCAAAAATTCCACAGAAACACATACCCTGAACAAAGATAGTAGGACTGCTGCAAAATTCTACCAACATCCTCCACCTAGAGGTATAGAAGGGAGAGTGAACAACCACCAAGAGAGATTAGGATATACCTTCCTCATTTCCTGGGAAAGAAGATGTTGAGGCATACCTAGATTGGGAAATGAAGTATAACAACTGTTTGGAGTGTCATCAAATAATAGAGAAAGGAAAGTTTCCCTACCACCCTAAGCTTTCAAGGGAATGGCCATGTATTGTTGACTTCCCTAGTGAGAGAAGAAGACTCTCCTCCAATATATCCCCTCAAGTCAATATTGGAATACTTAAAGAGTGCTCTAAAAGAATAACACATACCTTCCTACTACCATAGAGAGCTTATGGATAAACTCCAAAGGCTCCAACAAGAACCACGATGAGTGTTGAAGAGTATGGCAAAAGATGGATCTACACGTGATGAGAGCGGGAATTAGGGGAAGAAGAAGGAACCAACATTTCTAGATTCTAAGTGGTCTTAATCTTGATATTAAAGAGATAAAGGGAGTTGTTGCCCTATCAAGATCTCAATGATTTGGTACAAATTTGCATAAAAGTTGAGCAACAACATTGAGAAAAGGTTTGAAAATTGACCACCTCTAACTATAGTGTTCAGTGAGAAAGACTATAGGAGGGAGTAAGCAAGTATGGAAGAGAATCACCCTCTAGGTAATCTATGAAGGAGAAATAAACAGATAGATCAAGGGAGGGAACATCATTACACACCTCGTACTAGTAAAATTAAATGTTTTTAAAAATGTCAAGTAGGTATAAGAGTCATATGGGCATTCACAATGCCGCTCACTTCAGGACCAATAATCTTAGAGGGATGTTTTGACTCATATAGTAGTGAAGAGGAGGAGGAGAAAGGCACAAGTAAGGATGAGAGTGAAGGAGAAGATTCCTACCCATGCGAGGGAGATCTCCTCATGATGAGAAGAGTTTTGAAGAATCAACCTAGTCCCCAAGTCCAAACCCAAAGAGAGAACATCTTTCATACAAGATTCAAGTTTTAGAAAACAACGTGTTTCTCTTATTGTGGATATGGCTCATGTTGCAATTGTTGTAGCACGGGTTGGTTTTTGAAAGTTAGCCTTAACTATATTTCCTCACCCCTTTTCCTTCCCGTCACCCCAACCTTAAAATCTCATAGCTTAATGATGGTGACGCCATGATAGTTAATCACCAAGTGAAGGTTAAGTTTTCCATAGGGAATAAATAAGTAGTGTGCTATGTTACATATACGCCAGTAAGTTTGTCCACATCTTGTAGGAAGTCCTTGGCTTTTTTAAAAGTAACCCTACATCATGGTCGCCAATGAGATAACCTTCACCATAAGATAAAATTTGTACTTCACCTTCCCACCATCTCAAGATGAAACAGACCAAGTACAAATGAAATAGATCGAAAAGGAAAGAGATGACATTAATAACATATACAAAATCAAATGTTCAGAGTGTCAAAGCAATACACACATGTCCAATGAGTGTCCCAACAAAAGAGCCTTCATGTTAAGGGCCGCAGGCTTGTGTGAAGATTCAAAAGGGGTATTCTTTCCATCTTCCTTTAGTAGATTGGAAAGACAAGACCAAATAAGACTTGGTGGTAAAAAATGAAGTCACTCCAAATGCATATGCATTCAACACAAGATAAGCCAGAACTTAAAAGGAAACTACATAATTGGGTTGATTATTCTAATAACACTTACTTTATCTCTTGTTTTTTTGGCAGAAAGTTATGTGAATCCACCGGAGGGTTTTGTGTGATACATAAGTTGATCAATATGAGAAGAGGTTTTTGAAGAAACTTAAAGATTTGAGGACAATCCTTTTTAAGAGGAAGGGTATGATGGCATATGCCCTAGCCATGGTTAGCCTACTTAAGAAGAGTTGGATTCATCTATGAAGGGTGGGTCCGAGCTCTAATCATCATGAGCCATCAACATGTTCTTAGTAAAATTGTGCGTATTTTAGACCTTGTATTAAGGGTCAAATAGTATAGTATTAATTTTAGGCCTTGTATAATGGGCCAAGTATTGTATGGTTTGTAATATTAGCTTAAAAGAGTGTGTCCCACCATGGGACATGATGGCCACATGGCAAGCTCTTAGTGAAGAGTTTTTCTTAAGAAGGAAGTGGCCATGTGTCACTCTAAGTGGAGAAACTCTTACTACATGATTGCCATATGTCACTCTAAGAGTGTTGAGAAACTTTGCAAAAGTGGATTGTCACATGGGCACTTTAAGGTGGAGGAACTTTGCAAAAGTGGATTGTCACATGGTACTCCAAGAGTGGAGAAGACTTTACAAAAGTGGATTGCCACATGGCACTCTAAGAGTAGAGAAACTTTGTAAAAGTGGATTGCCACATGTCTCTTTAAGAGTGGATAGTT